GCGTGCACGTGAACAGGCGGCGTCCCCCGATCCCTGCTTTCCCTGCACGGCCTCCTCCTCCTCCTCCTCCTCCTCCTCCTCCTCCTCCTCCTCCTCCTCCTCCTCCTCCTCCTCCTCCCCCTACTCGTCCTCTATGCCTTTTCCTTATACATCGACCCCCCTGCCGCAACCCCAGACGTGTCGGTAGGGCGGACCAGGCGTTTCGCCTGAGACTTCCTAACCATTTGTGGTCCTCAAGCTCAAAGCTTGCAAGAGCTTCACAATTGGATGGCGGGTCGTTTCAAAATGTGGCTCCCCCTTTGGCGCCGCGTGCATTCGCTTTAAAAGTGAGAGTTTCAAGGATGGAGGGCGGGTCTTTTTCAAAATAGGGTTAACACGATCGGTGTTCCAGGATCGGTGTTCTGTCACGATTCAGGATCGTCAGGACGCAACACGCAACAGTCAAGTTGGTTATCGGCGCTGAAGCTCCAGGAATTGTATCTGGGCACGGCTGATGATTCTCAGACGGTTGTCTTCCAACGGGGCATTTCCATAGTGAAAGTAGACTCTTGTACCAACGAACGAACGACCGCCAATGCGGACCGCAGTCCAGGCCTACTTGAGACCAGGTGAGTGAGGCCGTGGCATCCAAATATTATGGCGTATAATGAGGCATGCATCCGAGACACAAAAGAAAGTATGTGAAACGGAAGGGGAGGGCAGGAGTGGGAGAAATCTGTGTTGTTGGAGTCGTCGTGGGCGGGCGTGCCGTCGTAACTGATGCTCCATGGTGGCCTGTGTTGGTGTCAAGCTGTGTTTTTGTTCTAGCTGTCTTGGTCTTTACTAGAAGTGGCGTTGGTGTTGGTGGAGGTCGGAGTGTTGAGCTGGTAGCTGGAGGTCAGTGGGTGGAGGTGGAAGTGGAAGGTCGGGTGCTGGATGGTGGATGTCAGAATGCTGAGCTGGTGGAGGCTGGAAGTCGACAGTCGGGGGTGGAACTGGAGGAAAATCGGTTGCTGGATGTTGGAGGTGGGAGTGCTGAGCTGGTGGAGGTTGGAAAGAAGATTCTAGTAGGGAACTATGAAGACGGAATTTCGAGGGAGAGTTTACTTTACTGCAAAATTGTTGATGCGTCTCGAATTTCCACAGGTCCTCCTCTTCCTCCTCCTCCTCCTCCTCCTCCTCCTCCTCCTCCTCCTCCTCCTGAGACGCTGAGACGCTGACGGCAATGGAATTCTCCGAACGCTGCCGCTTTCCTCCTCCTCCTCCTCCTCCTCCTCCTCCTCCTCCTCCTCCTCCTCCTCTTCCTCCTCCTCCTCTACATTAGCCATCCTCTGCCATCCTCTACTATTCCTCCTCCTCGTCCTCCTCCTCCTCTCCTCCCCTCCTCCTCCTCCTCCTCCTCCTCCTCATCATCATCATCATCATCATCATCATCATCATCATCATCATCATCATCATCATCATCAATCATCATCATCATCACATCATCATCATCATCATCATCATCATCATCATCATCATCATCATCATCATCATCATCATCATCATCATCATCATCATCATCATCATCATCATCATCATCATCAACATCATCATCATCATCATCATCATCATCATCATCATCATCATCATCATCATCATCATCATCATCATCATCATCATCATCATCGTCATCATCATCATCCGCTTCCTTCTCCTCCTCCACCTCTTCTTCCTCCTCCTCATCTTCCTCCTCCTCCTCCTGGCCGCCCCTTTGCAGTTCCTCCCCGTCTTCTCCCTCAGCATGTTGACCCCCGGTCAAGTTGCCCACCTGCGTGCGTGCAGTCGGCCCCGCGAGCAGCTTGGGCAGCACGACCTAATCTGTATTCCAAGGCACGCCCCCGAGGAGCTATCCGCCGGCACCCTTTTGAGCGCCATCAGGCCGCGGAGCTGACATCCCCCGTTGTGGAGTCAACAAGTGCCTGCGTCTTCACCTTCAAGTGTGAGATGACGTCACTCCAACTGGCCGACCCAAGAAACCCTGGATCCAAGTATGCTGACGTCTCGCCTCTCTTTTCTCCGCCTTCCGCTGGCCTTCCGCCAGCCTCCGCCGAGGGCGAGGTTCGCCGAAGGCGAGGCTCTCTCTGCAACGGCCTACCCAGCTCCCACTCATCCTACTCCACATCCCCCTCTTCGTCCACCACCTGCTCCTCCTGTCTGTGGATAAAACAGGGCTAGGATCGGGATAAATCGCTCCAGAGCGTTCCGGAGCGCTCTCAGAGCGGTCCGGAACGCTCTGGAGCGGCCGCGGCGCCCAATACATCCTCCAAACCCGCCGATTCTCAGAGATTTCGAATTATCCCGATCCGATTTTGTCCCGATCTTCGCGTCGTTTTAGTGGAGCCACACCGTCCTCGGCACTCAACGGAGCAACCGGTCGGCAGCGTGAGCGCAGCCCCGCTGGCGACGCGCCAACCCCTGCACCAGTCCTCCCTGCTCTCCTCCTCCTCCCCATCCACCCTCCTCTTTCTCTGCCGGCAACGCCTGAAGCACTGCGAGCGCTGGCAGTCTAGATGCTTATGTGCTGCTACTCCTCCGCCCTCTCCTGGGACGCACAAAGACATACTAGTACTATATGTCCTCCTTGGAGGCGCGCGTCCGACCCGATCATATAGTATACCAATATTGTAGTATATCGTTTCCCGAGCGGTGTGACCAGAAAGCGCCCGCCACGACGCATATACTATAAGATTTCTCGGTGCGCGCGCCGCCACTGGGGGGGCGACGAACATATAGTATAAGTATGTTGGGGTGACGCCGAGAGATCTCCCGCGCCTGTTCCTCAGGCCCGCGAGGAGGAAGCCCATCTGCGTGCCCATCCGGCCCCACCAGCGCACCCCGCGTCGCTCTGCAGCCCCCCTCCCCAGAGATGCATGAGAATCCACGGGCTCCCAGGCCACGAACCCCCCGGTAACGAGCGTGGTGCGTGACGAGTGCGCTCGCGCGTGTCTGGTCGCGTGCGCATGTGCGCCTGAATGTTGCGTGTACGCGTGCACACGCGTGTGTAGAATACCTTGCTGTCCCTCACCCTGTGCCCCCACCCCCGGGCCGTTCCCCCTTTCGTTCCGCTTTCGGCTGCCCCCACGTGAGACGTCGTGCAATGGAGGCCCAGCTAGGGGCGAGGGCCCCTGGAGACCGACTGCGACGGAAAACCTCCGCCCATATTTTTCAACACGTTTCTGGACCTCCAGCGGACAAATCGGCAGGCGGGCGGGGGACGGAGGACTAGGAGGGGGATCGAGGAGGGGGACGGAGGAGGAGGAGGAGGAGGAGGAGGACCGATGCAAACTCGAGACTCATCAACGATGCTGCAGTGAGGTTCCCTATGAGCGAGCAGTGTGCGTTCCCTCTGGGCCGCCCGAGAGCCCGGCCGCGGCCGCCGCACCACCCCTCTCGCCGATCCCGCAGGCCCGGCTGACCGCCGCGCCGCTGCGCGCGTGGCCGCGACGCCAAAAAGCGTGCCTCTCTGTGTGCGTCGTGTGCTGAGTGGTGCGTACCCTGTGCTGTGCGCTGTGGGCCGCATGCTACGTGTGTGATGCTTGCGTTTGTGCAGGCGCGCGTGCACGCCGCGCGTGATGCGCACGCTGTCTGGAGAGTGCTGCGCGATGGCTGCTGTGTGTTGTGTGCTGTGTCTTGCGTGTTGTGTTGTGGTGTGTTGTGTTGTGTTGTGTCGTGTCGTGTCGTGTCGTGTCGTGTTGTGTTGTGCCGTGTTGTGTTGTGCTGTGCCGTGTTGCGTGCGAAGTGGATTATGAGATGTGCGTTGGGCGTCGCGTGCTGCGTGATTGAGTCGAGTTGATGGCTAGATTGAAGGATTCCTGGGCGGCCCCTGGGGACGTCCTTGGGCGCTCTTGGGCGATCTTGGGCCATACAGGGGGGATTCCAGGGTCCTATTGGGAGCCGTTTTGAAGTGTGTTGGGCCGTCTTGAAGCAAGCCCTCTGAGAGCGACTTCAAGACGGCGCTGTTCCATGTTGTTCCGAGGCCCCTTCGAAGGCTATATTCAAGGCTTCCTGGGCCATATTGAAGGCCCCTTGGAACGCTTTTGGCGCCATTCGGCTATGTTGCACCCCGTATGGACCGTATTGAGGCTCTTCGATATCGAGTCCAAGACGATGTTGAATCACGTTGGATCAGAGACCACGGGTCCATGGAGAGGGGCTTATCGAAGGCGGAGGTCAAGTTTAGATCCTCAGCCTTGCTGGCTTCGCTTATTTCACAGCCCCGTGGTTGCCAACCGACTCTTGGATGACAGGAGCCTCAGCAAGATGCTCGGGGTCCCCAGGTCATTGCGAGCGAAAGCCTTCTGCACGAACGGGCATGACAAACGAGAACCGTCGCCGTTCGACGCGTTGTGAAGTCTAAACGATCGATTATCTCGTCGTCTTCCTCCTCGTCCTACTCTTCCTCCTCTTACTCCGTCTGGCTCTCCTCTCCTCCTCCTCCTCCTCCTCCTCCTCCTCCTCCTCCTCATCATCATCATCATCATCATCATCATCATCATCATCATCATCATCATCATCAGCATCATCATCATCATCATCATCATCATCAGCATCATCATCATCATCATCATCACATCACCATCACCATCAACATCATCATCATCATCATCATCATCATCATCATCATCATCATCATCATCATCATCATCATCATCATCATCATTATCATATCATCATCATCATCATCAGAAGGAGCAGCAGCAGCGGCATCATCATCATCATAATCATCATCATCATCAGCATCATCATCATCATCATCAGCATCATCATCATCGTCATCATCATCATCATCATCATCATCATCACCAGTATCACCGTCACCATCACCATCACCATCACCACCACCACCACCATCACTATCACCATCACCATCGTCGTCGTCATCCTCATCGTTATTGTCGTCCCCAACCTCGTCAACCTTGCCTTCCCTCGCATCATCGCAGTCCTAATCCGAATCATGATCCTGAGATTGGCCCTTCTCT